TGAGATGCAAATGTCACTCTCTGACAGCAGGTGGCGCTTATGGAACAGCAGGTATTTATAGGCTGCTGCCCCTTTAAGACCAAATGCACGGATCCAATATAATGATGCACTTGAGATTTCTTTCACTGTTTACGTTCACTTAAGACATAGCCAACTGTGTTTACGAGAATACTTGGCGAGACAGTTATTTTGAGATAATTTTGTGTGTATGTGTTCATTCAGATGCAAGGATATGCGAAAGAGGAATCAATTCTGTGTACGCGCATTGTTTGAAATGCGGCTTTCTGTGCGCGCTTTAAATGAGTGTGTGCAGAAACCAGCGCGCTAGCTCCGAATGCGTGCGAATGTTTTAAAACGCTTGAATGTTTAAATAGTCAAGACTTAGAAACAAGTGCAAACGATCAACTATGATCCGTTTCACCCCTACAAGCTAGTGAACAACGCGAATCAAGTTAGGAATTTGATATCACTATTCAAGATAGCCCGTCGGGCAGGGCGGTGATACATTTTGGTAGCTCGACTGGAAAACAATATAGCCCCGGGACGTCGGGCTAGAGATTTTGCGAGCCCTGTATACGTAAAGAGAACCAAATGTCCACATATACCGCTTCAGGAATGACAAACACGAATGTTAAATTTACACGAGTGAATCCGTTAAATCATGCCGCGAGTCATTGCTATGATTGACAGTGGCAACGGAATGAATCATCTGACCAGCCGACGTCAAAATAGAGCTGTGCATTAAGTGATTGAGACTAAATTCAGACTAACAAAACTACAGCAGCAACAAGTCTGTGTTGGATAAAACTTAAACGATGTAGTTAAATTATTAAATTTAAACATTTCAAAATATTGAATGCACTATTTAATTCTTATACTTATTTAATTTGTATTTAACTATGTAGGTATTTAAATAATTCCGCATTATAGGCTGTTGTCTGGCCTTATTTATTTATTTATTTTTTTAAATGACAAGTGACTTTGTGACTTCTTGCACTTTATATTCAGTGCGATAAAGTACTAAAATTTGTTGTAATATTT